CTTTATTTTTTTTAACTCTTGGTGAAAACAAATATAGAAACCTAGGTAGAGGTTTAGGGCACTGGGGCCAACTGCATGGTTCAAGTCCTGGACCCAGCAGCCTGAAAAACACGCCGGGTGCATATGCATGTGGACCTACAATCCCGAGAGGAGAATGGAGGAGACGAGATTGTGGGCTGGCCATCCCCACTTAGGAGTGGTTTCTTGTTTTCCTTCTGTCTGTCTCACTCCAGCGAGAATGTGTGCCTTATGGCAAAACAAAACAATAACAACAACAACCCAGCAGGTGGCATAGCAGTGACGTTCCTGGATTCTTACATGGCCAACTGTGGTTTGAGTCCTGGACTCAGTGGCTTCAAAATCACACTGGGCATGTGTGCATGCATGTCCAAGATCCCAGGAGGAGAAAGGATTGGGAAGTAGCTATCCCTTCTGGAGGGTGCTTTCTCACTTCCCCCCTTACTGTGTCTGTTTCCGCTTCTCTCCAGTGAATGCACGTGCCCTAAGGCGAAAACTTTTAAAAATAAAGAGAGAGCGAGAGAGAGAAGAGTCTTAAAAAAAAAAAAACAAAAAAAAAACACGTTTTAAAAAAAAAAAAAAAAAAAAAAAAAAGCAGCCCTGGTCCGTAACCTCATTTCAGGCTCACCCAGATCTGTTTGGTCACTAGGGGGAATCTGGCCTCACTGGGCTAGTCAGTAGACAACACGCTCACTCCAGTGTGGCACCTCTGGAGGGGGTTTGCAAGGGTTGTTGATTTTTACCTTACTTGCTGGACTTTAAAACGGACCTCTGTGCAAGCCACCACGGGGCGCCCCTGTCAGTGCATGCGGAGAGTCACCATCATGAGAGAACGCTTTGGAAGAAGGCCTTTTGGAGAACTGGAGATGTGTAATTTCCTGATTTCTAAGTCGTCAGAGGTGAAATGAGGCCTCGCCTGAATGGCCGCCCATGGGAGATAGCCCCCCGGGACCCCCGCTTTGTCCCCACCTCCCGGTGTTCACAGCAAGTCAGCTGGCCAGTAGTGATGGCATGGTACTCCTTGGGTAAGGTTATGAAAGGCCGAGGCGCTGTCTCAGATCGCTGCTTTGGGGAAGCCAGCTGCCATGTCGTGGAACCCTCTGGAGAGGTCCACATGGCCGGGAACTGGGGGCTGTCTGCTGGCCAGTG